CCACACCCCAAGCCAGCATCATGAGCATCAGCCCGGGGTCCTTTCGGCCAGCACCATGAGCATCAGCCCGCGACCCTTTCAGCAACCGCCCCGGCCAAGCCAGCACCATGAGCATCAGCCCGCGACCCTTTCAGCAGCCGCCCCGGCCAAGCCAGCATCATGAGCATCAGTCCGCGGCCCTTTCAGCAGCCGCCCCGGCCAAGCCAGCATCATGAGCATCAGCCCGCAGCCCTTTCAGCCGCCACACCCCAAGCCAGCATCATGAGCATCAGCCCGGGGTCCTTTCAGCCAGCACCATGAGCATCCTGAGCATCAGCCCGCGGCCCTTTCAGCCGCCACACCGCCAAGCCAGCATCATGAGCATCAGCCCGCAGACCTTTCAGCAGCCGCCTTAGCCTCATGAGCATCACGAGCTCGGATCCTTTTGACCCGTCTAGACCCTGAAACCGCAACCTCCACCCCTGGCCCTGAACCGCCTCACAGCAACGAACCCGAAACCAAACACTGAACCTTCAGCCCTGAGCCTCAACCCCTAAACCCCCAAACCCGAAACCACGGGAGGTGTCAGCCTTCGTCGGCGCTCAGGCAAACGCTAGTCACGGCCATCTTGTGCCTTGCTGAGATGGTTTAGGGTTTAGGGTGTAGGGTTTGGGGTATAGGGTTGAGGGTTTAGAGGGTATCTGCAGCAACAGTCCCATCAGCAGTGACGTTCTCGAGGAAAAGTAAGGACCTACAGACACTAGTGCGCCCTAGCCCTAAACCCAAGAACCCTAAACCCCAAATCCCAACCCCCCGCAAACCCTAAACCCTAAACCCGAAATCCCAAACCCGGATGCCCAGCGGAGGCCCCGGCCCTCGCAAGAACCTCGGCTCCCCCAGGGCCAAGTCTGAGACCTCACGATTTTAGGTTTAGGGTTTAGGGTTTAGGGTTTAGGGTTTAGGGTTTAGGGTTTAGGGTTTAGGGTTTAGGGTTTGGGGCTTAGGGCTTAGGGCTTAGGGGGTTTAGGCCCCGGGCATGGGAGAAAGGAGGGCTGTTGCCAGGACTTCGGCCTTGTGTGTCGAGGGGAGCGGCCGGTGAAGATATTTTGTTTGGGGTTTAGGGTTTAAGGTTTAGGGTTTAGGGTTTAGGGTTTGGGGTTTGGGGTTTGGGGTTTGGGGTTTGGGGTTTGGGGTTTGGGGTTTAGGGCGTAGAGTCGTTTAGGCTTTGCTGAATCTGAAGTTTCTCGACGGCCTAAAGCTCGAGGCTTCTCCATACTAGCCCGAAACCCTGCGCAACCCCCACGCGGTGAAGGTGTAGGGGTTCAGGGTTGAGAGTTTAGGGCTTGGGTCTTAGGGTTTCAGGCCGGGTTTCATGAAGCCACAACGAGCAGAGGTTCCCCTGAGAATGAATGCCAACGCGGTCGCCTCCCGCCGGGAGGTATCTCGCGCGAGCTCCTCCTGTCGCCAAGCCGAGGCCCCCTTCCTGAAAACGGCCTGAAGCCAGAAAGCCCTTAGAACCCCAAAACCCTAGACCTAGACCTTGAAGGCCCCGAAAGCCCCGAAAGCCCCGAAGCCCCGAAAGCCCCGAAAGCCCCGAAAGCCCCGAAAGCCCCGAAAGCCGAAAGCCGAAACCCTAGACCCATTTGCAGAGTGGTGTGGGGGGGGGGGGGGGGGGAATGTATAGGGTTAAGGATTTAGGTTAAGGGTTTAGGTTTTATAAAGTTGTATAGTGTTCAGGCCCGGAGATTTGGGCGAGCTTTGGGCGAAAGTTCAGGGCGGGTTCGGGGCGGGTTTTAGGCGAAAGTTTGTTGTTTTGGTTCTTTAGGGTTCGCTCGCGTCTTGGGCGGGTTTTGGGCGAAAGTTCGGAGCGGGTTTTGGGCGAAAGTTTGTTTTTTGGCTTCTGGAGTTTCGGCACGTTTGGGCGGCTTTCTTGAGCGAATTTACTTTTGGTTTTTTTTTTTTTTTGGGGGGGGGGGGGTAATCATTCTTTGGCAAAAATGATCTTCACGTTTTGGGCGAAAGTTGCTGTATTTGCTGTTAAGGTGTTTTGAGGGCCTCTTCAGGCCTCTGAAGCCTTTGTTAAGTAAATTAAAACATCTTTGAAGCCTTGTGCAAGAAAATTGAAACATTTTTGAAGCCTGTCTACGTAAAATGGAACATTTGGCCTCCAGAAACATTTTGGATTAGTGGGCGCCTTGTGTAGTGCCAATTTGTTCCGACAAAGAACTTTGTAAGTTCATAATGATATCACATACAATTTCTGTTATCCTGGTCTTGAGGGTTTTGAGTTTAGGGTTTAGGGTTTGGGACCCCTAAACCTTAAACTTTAAGCCCTTCCCTTCCTGCCCCCCCTCAGGAAGGTTCAGGGTTCAGGTTTAATTTACAAGGGCCCTTAGGACTCAGGAAGGTTCTAGGGTTCAGGCTCTAGGTTTTCGGGTTCAGTGTTTAGGGTTTAGGGTTGAAGGCTTTTGGCGTTCAGAAGTGTTAGGCTTTGTCGAGCTGTTTTCAGGGTCTTTTTGCGTTTCAGGGCTTAGGGCTCAGCTGTGCTCGCCCGAGGCGACTTGGAGGCCCGGCCTCGGGCCTTTCCTGGTTTAGGGTTTCGGGTTTCGGGTTTGGGATTTAGGGTTTCGGGTTTGGGATTTAGGGTTTAGGGTCAAGGGTTTAGGGTTTAGGGTTTAGGGTTTAGGGTTTAGGGTTCAGCATCTCAAGTTCGAGCATTTACTAGTCCAGCAGTGTGTGTAGGCAACGGAAAAAAACCCACCCACCCAAAGAATCCCATAACATTAAGAAAATAAAAAGTTTTTCTTAATTTCTAGTCCGACACACCCATGCCGTAACGTCTCACCCCTTCCAAGCACATCGCCCCCCGATAACCAAGACCTGGAATCATGCATTTTCACTGTCACTCGTAACGTCTCACCCCTTCCAAGCACATCACCCCCCGATAAGCAAGACCTGGAATCATGCATTTTCACTCGTAACGCCTCACCCCTTCCAAGCACATCACCCCCCGATAAGCAAGACCTGGAATCATGCTTGGAAGGGGTGAGATGTTACGAGTGAAAGTGCATGATTCCAGGTCTTGCTTATCGGGGGGTGATGTGCTTGGATGATGTGCTTGGAAGGGATGAGACGTTACGAGTGAAAATACATGATTCCAGGTCTTGCTTATCGGGGGGTGATGTGCTTGGAAGGGGTGAGGCGTTACGACGGGTGGGACGGGGGGGGGTGGCGGGGGCCCTAAACCCACGGTTTAAAAGCCCCTGTCGGTGAAGGCTCGGTTTTCGTCGAAAATCCGGAAAACGAGAGGCCACCCAGAACCGTCGATTTCAGTACTAAAAAATCGCATTTTTAATAGGGACCCTGGCCGATCTGGGGTCACCTTCATTTTTGGGGGGGGGGGTGGGGGGGGGGGGGGGGGGGGGGGGGGGGGGGTGGGGGGGGGGGGGGTGGGGGGGGGGGGGGGGGGGGGGGGGGGGGGGGGGGGTGGGGGAGGGGGGGGGGGGGGTTGGCGACCTTGCCCAGTAAAACGGCGACCTTGCCCAGTAAAACGGCCGTTTTACTGGGCAAGGTCATTTTGGTCAAAAAATCGACCTTGCCCAGTAGAACGGTGACCTTGCCCAGTAAAACGGCCACCTTGGGTCACAAAATCGACCTTGCCCAGTAAAACGGTGACCTTGCCCAGTAAAACGGCCGTTTTACTGGGCAAGGTCACCGTTTTACTGGGCAAGGTCGCCGTTTTACTGGGCAAGGTCGATTTTGGTCAAAAAATGGACCTTGCCCAGTAAAACGGCCACCTTCGGTCACAAAATCGACCTTGCCCAGTAAAACGGCGACCTTGCCCAGTAAAACGGCCGTTTTACTGGGCAAGGTCGCCGTTTTACTGGGCAAGGTCGCCGTTTTACTGGGCAAGGTCGCCGTTTTACTGGGCAAGGTCGATTTTGGTCAAAAAATCGACCTTGCCCAGTAAAACGGCGACCTTGCCCAGTTAGAACGGCGACCTTCGGTCACAAAATCGACCTTGCCCAGTAAAACGGCGACCTTGCCCAGTAAAACGGCCGTTTTACTGGGCAAGGTCGCCGTTTTACTGGGCAAGGTCGCCGTTTTACTGGGCAAGGTCGCCGTTTTACTGGGCAAGGTCGATTTTGGT